ATATATATATAAAATCAGCCACTTCAGACTCATCATGTCCAAAAATGAACTCATCATTGCCCTCAATTTGTTTCTCCTTTGAAATTCTTCCTTGCAGTTTATGGCATCATCTTCCCAGTCATCATCCAGAAAACTGAATGTCATGCTGGATTCCTTGCTGTCTCTCATTTCCAATGTATTACTTATCCATGAGTTGTGCTGATTTCTGACTCATTCTTTTCCTTTCATCCCACTGTCTCAACATTTCACTGGGTTTTCTTTATTTGGATAATGGCAAGAGCCACCTGATTTTCCCTACCACAGTGTAGCTATATTGATTCAATGAGGATTTAAAAAAATAATGAATGTAGATCTTTATTCTGTAATACCTCTATAATAACTGCCCACTACTAAAGACTGATACTGAAATGTTTTAGCGTGGACACACTGAAAGCTGCTCTGATCTGTTTTCTGCTGACTTTCTCCATGTTTGGCTTCTGACCCTTCCCCAGACAGGGCCTGGATTCCAGCCTTACATAACATCTTGCCTCTCCCAGGACCTTGCACTTTCATGCATCTGGGCCTTTGCAAATGTTTCCTTTCTCAACACCCCTCCTCTGCTGAAAACACCCAAGATAAGGGGACAGATTACTAAGCAGATTCCATAAATGGCTTCCTCACACACTGTATTCACTGAGATAAAGAATTACCAAATAAGAAGGAAATACTAAATTTCCATGTATTCCATGCCTATAGACTAAGACTATAATAAAAACCTTTCTAGCCATTAAAATTCAAAAAGCCCAAATAAACAACTTATCTTTGCTCTCTCCTGTTTCACAGCCCCTTTTGATCATTCCAAGTTTGTCTTGGTTGTGTTCAGGAGCTCAGCATGACACAGTAATTCAAAGAGATTAAAGTAATAAGCACCTCATTCATTCTGTATCTGTCCATACCCTATTAATTATTTCAAGTTGTGCCTGCCTCTATTATAAATGAAGCATCACAAGTTCAGGTGTACTGTGAACTGAGCCTTTGGGAAAGCTAGTTTCTAACCCACTTTTTCACACTACTTCCTGTTAAGTGCCACTTCTACTTTGCACATGGAAACCATGTGCTATTTCCCCTCCTTTAGCTAGAGCCATAGCTAGAAGGACTATGATCTGATAGTTAACGATCTGATGAATCAAACACAGAGAGTAGAGGTTTCTGTTGTGTAATCATGTACTCCTGGACAATGTTGCCTAGGATCCTAGGACTCTTCGTGAAATGTCAAGCCCAGGTCCTTAATTCCAAAATATGAATAAGGCTGGGTGTCAAGGAAACACAATGCTTATAAACCCTGTTGACTCTCTATTCTGTCTCCGTTACTTTCACACTGAACATGGTACTTGTATGTAGGAAACAAAACAATTACAAAGCTTCCATTCATTTGTAGATAAATATTCTTTAGGAAACATGAAGTATTGTGGGTTTTCCTCTCCCCAACCCTCTCTGCTAAAACTCTGCTGTTTCTCTGCATTC